ACAGAACAAAACTAACTGTTCTCTGACATTCTTTCCAACTTTGAGGTCTTGTGATTCAGTCAAAAGCTTGCAAGTTCTAACTGAGCTTAAGTGAGATATAATTTCTCCTGTGATATTATAATTAGTGATAAGCCAAGTTTCAATTAATATTTCACAAGTAAGAAGACAACATATTTAAGACACAATCAACTTAGACAAATAGGATATTTTACATTTTGGAAAATTTTTATAAGAATAGTGGCATATTGTAGGTAGTATGATTTTTTTTATTGCATTTTCGAATAAGTCAACAAGGATTTATTAAGCACTGAATGTGTGCCAGGCACTGTACTAAGCATTGAGAAGAAAGGCAAAAGGCAGTTCTTGCTCTCAAGGAGCAGTCTAATGGGAGAGACAATGTGCAGACAAATTAGATACAGAACAAATTAGGTATAATCGGAGCAGCTTAGGTGGCACAGTGGATAGGGCACAGCCCCTGGAGTCAGGAGGACTTGAGTTCAAATCCAGTCTCAGAAACTTGACACTTACTAACTGTGTGACGCTGGGCAAGTCACTTAACTCCCGATTGCCAAAGCAAAAAAATGAAATAAAGTAAAATAAAAAACAAAGACAAATAGGTATAATCAACAGAGGGAAGGCACTAACATTAAACAGGACCAAAAGATAGATTGAATTTGGCAGATACTCTATATCAAGTGATACAGAGTTTTTTTTTAACTTTAAATTTATTTTTTTAGGAACTAGAAATTAATCAACAAATATCACATAGGTCCAGCAAATGGAGCTTGTCCATGCAGTTGCAAAATCCACTGCATATAGCTTGTTCCTTTTAGTACATATTATATTATACATTAATTATACAATAATTACATACAGCCTGTATATAATTATAATATATATTATATTATGCATGAATTAGACAACAATTACATACAGCTTGTATATAATTATAATATATTATAATATGCATTAATTATATAATAATTACATAGAACTTATTTCCTTTTAATATATATGAAATTTAATGTGGTAGTACAAATATCAGAGTAGGGATTTATTGATCTCTGACTGTCCAAATCCACTCAAAAGTATTTATTTTTGTTAGGTGGCAAAGTGTTAACGAGGAACAAAGGGATCTTGCTCCATTTGAGTGAGGGGACTTGGTTACCCCTTGAGGGATTTGTATGAAAGAAGAATGGAATGGAGAATCAGGAGACATTCCCAGGGTGTGGCAGTGGAGAGGAAGGGGACATCCAGAGCTGAGCCAGAGAGGATAGGCAGTCAAGGAGCGAGCAGCAGAATGGAGAAGGAGAAAGCAGGACTGAGCTATGGCAGAGAAGGGATATGTTTGGGAGGACCATTAGTTCTATAGACATCTTAGAGCAAAAGATTCCAGCTGATGCCCCAGTTGTGCCAACTTCCTCAAGAACAGTAGTTCTAGAGTAGGGCTGTTCTTTCTCCAGTTTCCCCTTCCTTGTGCCTGATTATCAATAGACTGTAACAGGCACAAACACAGCTGCTTCTTTACCTAAATTTCCCTGGTAATCTGAATTTTGCATTAACCATAAAGGAGCCAGGGGCTAGCAAAAGATAAATATAAATGGAAATTAAGGCAGAGAGCCAAACTTCTGCTTAAATATTAGAAATTTTCCTAACTGAGGGCTTGGAGTGATGTTATTCCTAGCTTTTCATTTAACATAAACTCCCTAAACACTAGAAACAATTATTCAGACTTGGGAAGTACTTATATTATCTGTAAGGTTAAAAGAGCTAATTTTGGTACCAGAGGGTTACACTGACATTGCCCCACTTGTGTGTATCCCTTCTGAAGCCCCCTCTGCTGTTCTTTGTGTGTTTCATTGACATTTAAATGTCTCTCCCCACATTAAAAAAAAACTGTCTTTTCTAACCAAAGTATAGTCAAGCAAAACAAAGTTATGCTGAAATGGTCGTATCTAGAAACATGCTTTATTATCAGCAGGCTGGAACCAAGATTGGCCATTATATTAATCAGATTCCTAAATCTTTCAAAGCTGCTTTCCTTTATGATGTTGTTATTGTTGTACAACTGTTGTCCTGATTCTATTCACTTCACTCTGCATTGCTTCATACAAATTTTCCCAGATTCTTTGCAATCCCTTTTATCATTTCTTATGGCACAATAATATTCCATTACATTCGTATACAACAATTTGTTCAGCCATTCTACAGTTGATGAGCACCCCACTCAGTGTCCAGTTCTTTACTATGAAAAAAAATCCTGCTATAAATATTTTAGCCATATGGATCTTTTCCCTCTGTCTTTGACCTCTTTGGAGTATATGCTTTGCAGCTAGGTGGCACAGTGGATAGAGTTCAGGGCCTGGAGTCAGGAAGACTTGAGTGCAAATTCTGCCTCAGACATCAACTAGCTCTGTGGTAAATCATGTAACCTCAGTTTCCTCATTTGTAAAATGGAATAATAATAGCACTTATTTCTCAGGGATGTTATGAGGATCAAGTGAGATTATAATTGTAAAGTGCTTAGCACAGTGCCTGGCATGTAAGTAAGCACATATATAAATGTTGGCTATTATCATATACTAGTTAGTAGTATCACTGGTATGTATAGGTTAGTGACTTTTTAAGTATAATTCCAAATTGTTTTCCAGAATGATTGGACTAATTCATAGTTCCATTGAGAATGCATTAGTGTGCCTGTTTCCCCACAGCCCCTCCAATAATTGTCATTTTCTTTTTTGTCATCTTTGCCAATCTAATGGACGTGAAGTGGAACTTTAGAGTTGTTTTTAATATGCATTTCTCTTTTTGTGAATGACAGAGTATTTTTTGATATGATTATTGATAGCCTGGATTTCTTTCCTATAGAGCTGCCTATTCGTATCATTTGACTATCTTTTGAGGAATGGTGCCTGTTCTTATATGTTTCCATAAATTCTCTCTATATTTTGGATATCAAGTCTTTTTTTTTCTTTTTCTTTTTTTTAGTGAGGCAATTGGGGTTAAGTGACTTGCCCAGAGTCACACAGCTAGGAAGTAATATGTGTCTGAGACTGGATTTGAACTCAAGTCCTCCTGACTCCAGGGCCAATGTTCTGTACATTGCACCACCTAGCTGCCCCTAATATCAAATCTTTATCAGAGAAATTTGCTATGAAGATTTTCACACACACACACACACACACACATGCAAAGTCAACTGTTTCCATTCTAATTCTTCTTTGCGTCCATTTGGAGGGTGTTAAGATATGCAGTATGATGATGATTTAAGTATAGTTTCTCTTAGACTGCTTTCCAATTTTTCAGCAGTTCTTGTTAAATTTTTGTTCAAAGTAGTTACCCTAGTAGCAAATAATCTTTATAATTACATACATCTATGTTTATTTCTGTAGAGAGAGTTTTGTAATTGCATTCATATAATTCTTGTGGGCATCTTGGTAAAGTTGAATTCACATGAGAAAGCGTTGAGTCAGTACCTAGATTATAATAATATTCTGTACATTCTGGAGTAATTTTTAACAGAATTTCTTATTCCATCTCTTTTGAATAGATTTTGTCAGCCATGTACAGTAAAGCTAAGGATTTTGTGAATTTATTTTACATCCTGCTACTTTATTGACATCATTAGTTTTTTCCCCTATTTTTTAGTTGAATCCCTAGGGTCCTCTAATTAAACCATCATATCATCTGCAATAAAAACAACACTTTTATTTCTTCTTTGACTATACTTATTCCTTCAGTTTCATTTCCTGTCTTATTGTTATAGCTTATATTTCTAGAACTATGTCAAATCATAGTGGTGACAATGGACAGCCTTAATTTACCCTTGATCTCATTGGAAAGTCCTTTAGTGACTGATGCCCAGGGGCCTCACAAGGCTAGTTAACCATGGTCCTAAAACTTGTCTTTTTCCTTTCCCTGCAGTCTTGTCAGTTTGCTAATTTTGTTTACCCATTGGCATGACTTTCTCCTGCCTGGCATGGAATGAGGGAGTCATGAAATTAGAGAGATGGAAACATGGAATAGTAGAACATTGGAATGTAGAAGGAAGAACTCTGAAGTGAACATTGGATTGAATGTCTCAGACTGCCCCCACCCCCCACCCCCCACCCCCCACCCCCCACACATTGGAAATAGGCTCTGCAGGTCACTTAACTCTGGCCTTCCTTTTCCTTCTCTACACAATGAGGAGGATTGGACAACTCTGAGTCTTATCAGGGTCCTCCTCTCCATTTGTACCATCACCTCTGAATCTAGGGTGTACATATCCTGTATGCACAGAGTTGCGTGGGTGCAGTCTCCAACATTGGAATGCAAACTCTTTGAGGGCAGGGACTGGTTTTACATGTTTTTTGTATCCCAGTCACAGCACTTAATAAAAGCTTATTGACTAATAAAGGCCCTGGAGCCGTATGCAAATTTAAATTGGGGTTGTGTGTGTGTGTGTTTGTACACGCTATAGTGGTGTATGCAGGGTATCAAAACCTGCCACAGTTTTTTGTTGGTGGTGTTGTTGTTGTTGGGTTTTGTTTTTTTTTTTTGGAGGAGGAGGGGTGGAGGAAGGAAGGAGATGGTTCTGATACGGTTTGCTGTGAGGCTAGGGCAGGGTATAGGAAACCCTGGGGCTGAGAAATTTCCCCACTGGCCCTGGAGATAAAGGCTCCAAGTTCGCAATCCTGCTTCTGACTCTTACCTGGTTGAGTGCCTTTGGGCAAGTTGCTTAACCTCCCTAGGGCTCAATTTTCCTATTTGTAAAGTGAAGACCTTGGACCAAAAAGTCTCGGATTCCCTTCCAGCACCAGACCCAGGATCCTAATAACCCCAGCTGCCCGGTGCAGGGTGGACAACGTTGGCTTGTCCAGAATCAGGAGATGGGAGTTCTCCCTCAGTCCCAGATGATGAGTGAGGTCAACTTCTGGAGAAGAGGGGGGAGGTCCCAGGGTGGGGCGTCGTGCCTAGGTCTCCGCCCCCTCTCTGAGTTCTTCGTGGCTGGAGTGAGACTGCTGCAGCCCCAGCCGTGGCTCTTGTCCTTCTCCGCGGCCGCCAGCCTCGCCATGCCTTCCTACACCGTGACCGTGGCCACGGGCAGCCAGTGGTTTGCCGGCACCGATGACTACATCTACCTGACCCTCGTGGGCTCGGTGCGCTGCAGTGAGAAGCACCTGCTGGACAAGCCCTTCTACAATGACTTCGAGAGGGGGGCGGTGAGTGCTGGAAGGAGGGAAGGGTTCCTCCTTGAATGGTGCTTAGAGATCCCCGTGACCAGCACTGCAGAAAAGAGCCTCCTGGGGCACCCCCAGAGCCCTGAGAGCCTGGCCCCTGGCCTGGGAGCTGCAAGAGACCTCCGAGGTCTTGGGGGTGGGGTTAAGCACAAAGCTCCTCATCTTAGAGGGAGGACAACTGAGATGCAGATGGGGTGATATCACATAGTCAGGATTTGAAACCTGCGCCCCAGACTGGAAATCCAGCCCTCGACCCCCTGCACCACACTCCTGTAGGATAAGGAGGATTTCCCCTCTCTTCATCATCATGACCCCTTCTATTTTGTGTAGCCCTTTAGTTCTCACATAGAGGGCTTGAGTTCTAATCCCACCTTCACTGCTTACCAGGATGGAAGGAAGCCCAAAAAGGTGGGATGACTTGTCCAGGGCCACACACCTAGTCATGGTGGCAGAACTGCGACCAGATTCCAGATTTTCTGACTCTCGGTCCAATGTTGGACAAAGCCTTGTACAGTACACCAAAGGGCAAGGTGGTCTAGTGGATAGAGCCCTGAATTAGGAATAAGAGGACCTGGTTGAGTTCAAATCCTGATAGGCTACTCAGTATTTGAGTGACTTTGGGCAACTAAATGCACTTTTCTGGGACTCATTTTCCTCATCTGGAAAATGAAGGGGTTGGTAGAGATGTTCTCTGAGTTCCTTTTCAGCCCTAGTCCTGTGAGTACATGAACCTTTGGCAACCCCAGCTATTTATTTTGGCTCTTGTATGGTCACCTTAGGGCCAGTGTGACAGGGAGAGGCCAATTCATGGCATTGGGCTAGATGACCACCAACGTGCCTTCTAGTTGCCCTGGGAAGGTGTCTCCATGTAAAGGTCATTATCACCTTCACAAATATGGTGACATCTCATCGAAAACTTGGTTGTCCCTTCCTTGAGTATTTGGTAAATAGCTACCACCCCAGCCAGTGACCATAGGAAGGAAGAAGCAATAGTGATTGCCCCTTCCTGGGGGCTGGCAGTTGGATTGATGGCCTGCAGTAGACTGGATCCTACAAATGTCTTTGTCTTGTGCAAGCCAGCTGTAATAATGTAAAGCAGGTTGGATTTGAAGTTTCAATATCTGAGTTCAGACTCTGCCTTGACACTTGCTAGCTGTGTGTCTATAGACAAATTAACCTCTCTGAGCCTGCATTACCTGGCTCACAAGGCTGATGCAAGAAAATATGAGCTTTCAGTATGCCCGTGTAGACATTATCTAACAGGTCATGGTCGGGGAGTGCAGGGAGCAGGCGGTGCATAGAGCATCAGACTGAATGGGCTTCAAAAAGGACTTTAAAAAGGCCCAAAGCTTTCTCATTGGGGTGAAGGGGGAAGGGCAAAGAGAGAGATGTGGCCACTGAATATTACTTTTTCTTCTGATTAGTGTTAGGAAAATTTTCCTAGCAATTAGTGCTATCTGAAAGTGGAACCTGTGGGGCAGGGGGTAGAGGGCAGAAAATGAGTTCCTTGTTCCTGGAGGTCTTCAAGGAAAGCCTGCATGGCTCCCTGGATGTGTTGTAGGCAAGAGTTAGACTGGACAGCCCCAAGGTCCCTTAGGATTCTGTGCGTCTGACCCCAGAGTCAGAGACTATGAACTAAATCCATCTTGGTAAGAAATAATTTCCTTCATTATAGCAGATTCCACAGAAGTGCCGAATCAAGAAGAGGCTTGGAAATTATTCAAATATTTTATTGCCAGTTCTGATCTGCAAACATTTTGCAAGCATCTACTATGTGCAAGTGCTAAGTGCAGGGGACTGGGGGGTGGAAGAGATGAAATTAAATAATAAATAGGAGGCCATGACCCTGACTGTTAAGGAGATTACAGGCTACAGCAGTTAGAGAAAATTGTAGTAGGGACTTTGAACAGATCTAATCTGGTTAAAGCTATCTCTAGATCTTGGCAGATGGTGGGGCAAATGAATGAATGAATGAATGAATGAAAGAATGAATGAATGAATGAATGAAGGCCATCAAAGAAAGAGGTTTTTTTCCCCCTCCTGGCTTGAATCATCTCATTTGTCCATCTTAACAGCCTAAAATAATCCACTAAAATCCCCACTCTTCATTGTGCTGTAGTTATTTAGTGTTTCAGTTGTGTCTGATTCTTCATGATCCCATTGGGGTTTTCTTGGCAGAGATACTGGAGTGATTTGTAATTTCCTTCTCCAGCTCATTTTACAGATGAAGAAACTGAGGCAAAGTGGGTTAGGTGACTTACCCAGGGTCACATGGCTAGTAAGTGTCTGAGGAGGGCTTTGAACTCATGAGGATGAGTCTTCCTGATTCCAAGCCCAGTGCTCTATCCACTGAGCCACCTAGCTGCCCAATCATTGTGCTAGATAAATAGAATTAGGTGATGTATTTTCTTTTCTGGCTAAAGCTTTACAAGTTTGATTCTAAATGAAATACCCAGAACATCATTAAAGCCCTATATAGTACTGACAGGGATTGAACATCATTTTGCTTCTGCCTGTTAGGCTCTTATCTGAATGGGATGAAGTACTAGCATGCCAAACGGACCCCATTTCCCAGTAGGCAACACACTATAAGCATGGGGTGATAGTGAGGTTCCTGAGTAATAGGAATTGAGCCTTTAAAATGAGCCATTTTACTTATTTGTGTGTTGATGCCTTTTGTTTTTGACATCACCATCATTTCTCTATGTGTCACTCCCTTCCTCCCTGCCCTTCATAATAGAATCATCTTTTATAACAGAAATTGAAAAAGAAAGAAAAAAATGTTGAGCAAAACCAACCCCAACCCCAACCATGTCTGCTAGTACATGTGATTATATCATTCAGTTTAGATGACAAACATATAGGGGCAGAGATTTAGAATTGGGAGGACCCTCCTTGGCCTTCTAGTTCAGTAGGGTTCTTTCTAATCAATTAATCAGTCAACAAGCATTTATTAAGCACCTACTGTGTTCTATCCTGGTACTAGGGATACAAGGACAAAAGTGAAGCAGTCCCTTCTCTTAGGGAGCTTGCAGCCTATGCAGGGAAGACAAGGAGGAGGAAGAGGAGGTGGAGGATGAAGGTGACAGTAATAACAGTAGCTATCATTTATATAGCACTTTAAGGTTTTTGAAGCCCTTTACAAATATCTCATTTGGTCTTCACAACAACCCTGGGAGGTAGGTGCTATAATTATCTCCATTTTATAGATGAGGGAACTGAGGCAGAGAGAGGTTAAGTGACTTGTCCAGGGTCACACACCTAGTAGGTATCTGAGGCCAGATTTGAACCCAAACCATCCTGATTCCAGATCTAGGACTCTTTCCAATGTGCCACTGAGCTGCCATATGTTCAATTAAAAATACAGGCTGTATTTTAAAAATACCAAAAGGAGAAGGATGGGGGGGGGGGGAGCCAGGTGGTGAACTAAAAGCTAGTGAAATCAGGAAAAGTCCTCTTGGCACTTCTGCTGAGCCTTGAAGGGAGCTTAGTTTTCTGGGAGTGAGAAGTAATGAGAAAAACATTCCAGGAGCCTACTCAAAAGTGTGAGGTAAAGGCAGGAGATGGAAGGATTAGTCTAGGTAACAGTTATTTGGCTAGAGTATATAGTGTATGAGGGGAGAGTAAGGTTTAATCAGCTGGATCCCAGGTTGTGAAGGGCCTTAAATGCCAGAGAGCAGTTTAGATTTTAACCTCAAGGCAATGGGATCCACAGAAGCTTCTTGAGTTGAGGAGTGACATAAATTTTGAGCTCCAGGAATATCAATATGACAGCTGTGTTGGGGATGGGTTGGAGAGGGGAGAGACTGCCTAGATGCAGGGAGACAAATTGAGAGTCTAAGCAAGACAGAATGGGCCTGGACAAGGGTGAGTGTGGGATGAGTACAGAAAAGGGGCAGACAGGAGACATGCTGGAGTGGAATCAGTAAGACTTGGTCACTCATATACTCATATTAATAGGATTTTAGATTTAGCAATCACGGGTTCATGTAGAGTCCAGCTAGTCCCTTTACAGATGAGGAAACTGAGGCCCACAGGTAGGAAAGAGACTTTCCCAGGAGTTACAGACATAAGAAGCAGAGCTGAGATTTAAACCTTGTTCTTCTGCTCTTTCCTGACATCTCTTTTCAGTATCCATTTTCGTGACTGATATTCACCCCCTAAGTGATGTCAAACAAGTCACGTGACTTCTCTGGGCTTCCATTTCCTCAGTGGCCTCTGAGGAAGCCATAGCTCTGTGCCCCTCTGCAGTACCTGGCACACACATAGGGGACCATGGTATCATGGGCTCTTTAGAGGTCACCTGGTGCCATCCCCCTCATTTTCCAGATTGAGAGACTTGATGTTCCATGAAACTAAATTAAGTGACTCGGCTAGGGTAATACCAGGTAGTAAGGAGGATTGCCTCCCAAGTCCTCAAACTCCAGATCCAGCCCTCCTGCCTCCATGCTGCCTCCTATGCATTTTCACACGGTGAAAAATTTTGATGATGGTGATGCCTGTTGAGAAAAGAAGAATGATGTCTTTTATGGACAAGACGAAGGTGCCTTCCTACTGACTTACTTTCTCCTTCTTCATCTCTCCTCCCTCTTGCACATCCCTCTTTCCATGGAATCATGGAAATGTTATTGGTGAATAGATAAGGCTAATAAGACCTCCTCTAGCAGATTTTGGATGAGATTTGCATGACCAATACTCCATTTTAAAAGACTGAAGCCAGAGAAGGTAGAGAAAGGCTTGGATGCTCCAAGTCCCAGAGCCATGCAAACCAGCTGGGGAGACTGAGCCACCATTGTTGAAGGGCTCATTTGTGTGAGGTTGGGTTTTTTTCCTTTCGGCTTTTTGAGAAAGTTCCTGTTGATGCAAAAGATTTTCACATTTTCTCTTGCACAGTTCCAGAGGGCAGTTCCTCTTTTTCTAGCTCCAGCACAGACTTTTCTTCTCAGTGGTGGTGAAAGAGAAAGCTTCGGGAAATGCTTGCT